GCATGCTGGCTGGGGAATTCTGGGAGTTGAAGTCCACCTAGCTTAAAGTTGCTAAGGTTGACGTTATGTGACGTAACTCCACAAACCTTAAGGTTACTAAGGTTGAGAAACACTATATTGGATGATAATTCCAATGGCCACACTTGGCTTGAGATCTTGGGATTCAGTCCCACACACCTGGAGGGTATCCAGTTGTGGAAGCCTGCGATACAACTTTCGCTCTTCTCTAGCTGGGAAGTGGCCATTCCTGCCTGCAATTTTATGCTAACGTGGCGGTGATCCAGACAACGGTCCACCTTGGCTTGGAAGGGAGGCCCACACTCCCCGTTTTATCCCCTGGTGTTCTATGGCCGAGCAACACTTGAAGGAAACGTTTCATCCATGGCGGCCTTCACCCCTTGCTCTCTTTGGACTCCCGGCTCCGGTCCTTCCGGTCTCTCTCCCTTCCCTCTGTGGCTCTGCTTCTTTCGTCCCTGACCCGCCGTTCCTGGTCCCTTTCGCTCTTGCCCCATCCCCATGATCGCTCCCGTTCGGCTCGCCCGGGCTCTCGGTTCCTCTCGCGATCTCGGTCCCCCGTTTTCCAGTCCTTCGATCCTCCCCTGGACCAAGCCCGCTCTCTTTTGCCCACAGATCCTTCGCCATAAAAATCGTTCTTCATGGCAGGCAAGTTGATGGGTTTCCGGAAGGGCCTGTCCCTGCCTCCAAACCGCAGCTGCCCCGACTCCTTCTTGCCCCCGAAGCCGCCCCCGAGCCTCCGAGGTATCCAGCCTTTGAGGGTCCTTTCCAGCTCGAAGTCGACAAAGATCTCTCGCTGGTCAATGATGAGCTTGTTGGCATCGCGGTGGGCCTTCATCAGCGCACGCTCCTCTTTATATTCAATGAACGCGTAGCCCTTGGAAAAGCCGGTGACCAGGTCCCGAACCAGGCGGATTTTCCGGATCTCTCCGTACCGGGAAAAGACCTCTTTTAACTTGTCCTCTGTGGTTTGCAGGTTGAGCCTGGCTACGAAGAGAGTTAGGTGGGGGTCTCCAGAAACCCCTTTGTTGGGGACGTAGCGGGCTGACATGGCCCTCCAAACAGCACGGTCATGGGGCTCTTCATCCGTGCCATCGATGCTTCCGGCTTTGAGGGGGTCGTACTCCTTAGCGATGGGGACCCACTCGTTCATTGCTGGAGGGAAAAGAAAGCATGGATTAAAATCCCCCCCAGCATCTTTAAGAGGTCTCATTCGGAAAGGCTCTGATCTCGGGGTAAGGTGTGCGTGAGCCGTTAAGAGGGGACCTGGAGAAGTCCTGAGATAGGACGTGTGGGAAAGAAGCTCCAAATAAGCCCACCTTGATTTGGGTTAGTCTAAGGTGGGTGAGAGAGGACCTTGAGGGGCCTTCAAGATGGATGCCGGCCCTGCGAGGTAGGCCAGATCAAGAAACAGGAAGAACTGAGACACCAGGAACGTTCTTCATTGTAGTAAAGTTGAATGACAGCATCTGGAACGTCTGTCCAAGGTTCCCTTTGTCCCTTCTTGCACTAAACAAAATCCCCCCCCTACTCCCCGCTTTGGAAACCAGGATGGAGGGCTTACCAGGGGCAAAGTGTGTCTCCCACACACCTTGCTTAAGCAAGCCCGCTTGCATTCGAGATGGGGACCCCAACGTGGTGTAAGCGAGGGGGGCAGCCTGCGGCCACAGGGCCACCTCCAGCCCCAGAGCCTTGCCTGACCACAGTGGCTGAAAACGAGTGGGTTCCTTCTCTTTAGCCAGGTGGACAGAGGGGTAGAAATGGACGGGTCCAGCCTGAAGCAGCCTTCCTGTACGTGCTTCATGCTTAGTCTGTACTTACTCACAGCTCTTGAAAGCCCAGGAGCCTGGGCTCTCCCGGTACGTTGGCAACCCGGTCAGTTGGCAACCCCCTTTCCCTGCCTTTCCTCCTCTCCAGCCTGGAGGACCATGCCTGGCACCCGGGCTCCCTGAATGAATGCTTCCCACCCTCCCTGGCCCTCCCTACGACCGATATCCCCCCCCCAACCCTCCCCATCTTTAGCATTTGCAAGAACGAAACAGACTCACTCAACGCTCCGGGCCGCGAGGAAGAGGGACGCGGGTTCGTATTCCGCTGGGCAGATTCTCCAAGAAAGGGGCCTCCCAAGAGAGGTGGGATTGTTCGGACCTGGCAGGACGAAGGTTGCTATCTGAAGGCAGGGGCTTTTTTGCACGCAAAAGAAACCAGATCCCACCGTTGCTGAAGGCAACATCGGTGGCGAATCTGCCATTCGGGAAAAGAAGAGTCGCTGGCCCAGGAGCCTCCCCGCCAGCGCCCCCTGGCGGCAGACGCCGCGCAGCTCCTGCAGGCGTCTGGCCCCGCCCTGGGTCAAGGCTGCAAAATAGAGGCTGGAGGTTCCCCCTCCCGCCCCAGATCTGGTGCTTTCCAAACTCCGCACCCATCATCCCCAGCCAGGAGGGCTGAGAGGGTGGGAATTGTAGCCTAGCCTAGCCCAGGCCACCCGCGCACGCACATTCTCCTGCTGCTGCTGCCCCCTTGCCTCGGAGCCCAGCCCAGCTGAATAAACATGCATGGGAGGAGGGGTGCCCCATTCGCCCCCCCAGTCGAATCCTACGTTGATATAGGATTGCAAGCGAGGGCAGGAAGATGTTTTTGCCCGTGGTGGCCTTTTAGTCTTTATCAGAACTCACGGGCAGAGGAAGGGACTCCCCAGGCGGACCAGGAGAGTCAATGCACAAGGGGATCCTTGGGCCCATTTTACAGGGGAGGCATGTGGAGGCCCAGGGAGAGAGGCCCTTGGTGTGAAAGCGGGCGCAGTCTGCACTTGCTTCTGGCTCAGGGAGCGGGGAAGGCTCTGCCAGGACTGGATGCCAGGATGGGGGAAGCAGGGCGGCTTGTGCAATGCCTCGGCCCTCCCCTTTCTCTCTCTCTCTCTCGGCCACGGGAAGTCTGCCCACCGGCCTTCCCCTCCGGCTCCATGGTTACATCCCCCCCTTTCGCTCCCCGTCTCCTGCCGGCCTTTGATTGGGCTCGGCAAGCCTTTCGCTCTCGAAACCGCGCAGGGAGGTTTGCTCACAGCTGAAACTTTCGAAGAAGGAAGGAAGTTGGGCTGCTGGGACGAGGCCCATCTTGCACCATGGCTTAGCTGGTCCCCCCCCGCCCTTGAATCTCCCCATAGGCCCCCCAGGATCCTGGCATGCAAGCTCAGCAGCATTGTGAGGAAGAGGAGGAAGAGGAGGAGGAAGGAGGAGGAGGAGGTGGTGGCAACAGCGGATCAGAAGGTGCTTTCGGAAAGAGCCCCTTCCATCTCACGGCCGAAGATGTCTACGACATCTCCTACATCCTGGGCAGGGAGCTCCACACGCTCAGCACCGAGCCGCAGACGGAGATCCCCGCCCGGGTGGCCCGCTTGCAGTTCAAGGTGGTCAGCATCTTGGAAATGTTGGAAGCCCTGGTGAGCGAGAACCACCTGGCCGTGGAGGCCCTGAAGCTGGAAAGGGACAGCTTGAAAAGGGAACTGGAGGACCTCCGGCAGCGGGTGACGTCCGGGACGGCGGGAGAGGTACGTCCAAAGCTAAGGCTAAATTAGAAGGCGGCGGCTTGATTGTAGAGAGGAGACGGTGGCGGACCTCTTGATCTTCCAGGGAGACAGGGCTGGGCTGAGTCCTTTTGCTTCCCTCGTCTCAAATCCAGGTGTGAATTATGATTTAAAGTAGTGTTTTTCAAGCTTGGCCATTGGAAGAGGGGTGGACTTCAACTCCCAGAATTCCCCAGCCAGCCATGGCTGGCTGGGGAATTCTGGAAATTGAAGTCCACCCCTCTTCCAGCGGCCAAGCTTGAGAAACACGGATTTAGAGGGATCTGGATCCGGTAGCCCTAAATAATCATAACAGCAGGGATAGATTGAAGATTCAAGGGGCAGATCTTCCCCAGAACCCAGAATCAGCTGCCCAGGGCATCAGTTCAGGGTAGGACCATCTTGGTTTGCCTCTGGCACGGTTTGGACAAAAAGCCTGCCAGCCAGTGATACCCGTCAGTCACAAGGTGGAAGTTTCCGATTTAGGAAAAGGAAGATGCAACAGCTTCTTTGAAGGCTCCCTTTGGTCACATGTCCGAGAGCGTCACGGAGAAAGGAGAAGTCAGCTGAGCTCTGAACTTCGCATCCCATAACCAACAGCTAGATTCCCCGGAGTTTATTAGCTTCCACAAGTATCATTTTCCATTATTTTTATTTAAGTTTTTAGCGGGGTGGGGATCCTCTGAGCTCAGGATGGGCACCAAACGCATCGCGAGAATTGCAGATGTTTCGCGATGCGTCCCAGCAATGCTTCATCAGCGCGACAGTCCCAAAATGGGGGTTGTCTTGCTGGATTTTACTTGAGGGGAGGATGTCCACACTTTCCAAAACTTTTTTTTGCTTCTCTGCCGACCTTAATGTTGCCCCTTCTCAAGAGCTCCATTTCCGTTGGGGTGCTCCAGGTGCATTTTGTGATGATATCACCTTGTAGGTAAACCCGGGTCCCAACAAGATGATCGTTGACCTCACGGACGTGAACCGCCCCCGCTTTACACTGCAGGAGCTGAAGGAAGTTCTCCAGGAGCGCAACCATCTGAAGGCGCAGCTCCTCTTCGTGCAGGAAGAGTTGGAATGCTACAAGAGGTATGAAAAGGCAACCCTTGACATGTGAATTTGCACGCTGGCCTTCTCAGCCTTGGGAACTTTAAGACACGTGGAAGCTGCAGCATGATTAGTTTGTGAGCAAATCAGGACTTAAGGTCCATGGTTTCCATTAACCAACAGTTTTGACTCATCCATTAATTTCTTTGACTGTATCCTGTTCCCCACTGAGATGCCTCCAGTGCGTGTGGTGGGGTCACCTTCCTCATTACATCCTCATATTTGGACAGCACACTTAAATTCTCGCAGAATTATTTTCACCAGTGGTAAACTCCTCATTCTGAGGGCCATAAATGTAGAGGATGGCTTTTTAAATGGTGGCATGTTATTATTTGCCGGAATAAAACTCATTAAAATGTGCATCAGTGTTAGGTACATGGAAGAATGTTTGGCCAGCAATGGTGTCTAACCCCCATGGCTAACTGGACCATGATGTACCCAATGAACCCCAAATTGTGGGTTTGTATCACACACTGCACGCTAAAGGGAGAGTCTGGGTTGGCCCAACCCACTAGGATAAAAGATGGTTTGCTCGTTGGTGATTCAGCATGTGGTGCAAACAAAGGCACAGGTGAGGAGTTGGATGTGGTTTTGATGTGTAAGGGGTGGCAATAAACAGCCCGTTTTTTTCTCTTTTTCTTCACCACCACCAGTGGTTTCATTTCTCAGAAGCAGGATAAGGCCAGTCCCACGCAGAGGGAAGTGACTGTAAGCACACCCTCTGGTTCCAGTAGACGTAAAGAGAAAACGACAGTCAAGCAATGGTGAGTACCATTGTGAGAGGTGTTGAAGACCAGTGAAAACCTCAGATGAATGGCCCACCAGCAGAATAAAATCAAGGCAAGGTCTTTGATTAAGACAAGGGACTGTCAAGTTCAGCCCAAAGAACTCCAAGAGACAATGCAAATTGCGTTTATTAGCTTCAACCTCAGGACAGAAATCTCCCCAGACTGAACCCAAGTTCCCAAGCCAGCCAGCCAGCCACAACGCCGTGAATGCCTTAGGGAGGTGCCAGCCTCATCTTCTTGAACTTCCCACGCTCCTGTTGGGGGCTAAGAACATGCTTATCTCCCTGAGCATGGCCTTCATAAGTCCATTCCATCACAGGGACAGGTTTCACTCTAAGCCAATCTCCTCCATCACCTGCTCCCTAGAGGAGTGCTTCTCAACCTTGGGAACTTTAAGACGTGTGGCCTTCAACTCCCAGAATTCCCCAGCCAGCATGAATTCTGGGAGTTGAAGTCCACATGTCTTAAAACTTCCTAAGGTTGAGAAACACTGCCCTGGAGAATCCATCTAGGATCTTTGCACACTGAGCAAAAAAATATCTACCGCTCGCCTATTATTCTTTTCTTTAACTAGACTTTCAGAAAGCGCCAGTAATTTTCCATACTTGTTTTGGTGAACACTGCAAGTGAGGAGCAAGCTCGGCGTTCAGTTATCCGGATTCAAACTATTGGTACATGCCCAGAATTTGTTGAAGTAGTCCAGACTTTTATTAAAGCAACAGTTACTCCCCTTGTCTTTAGGATTTCGGATTCTGTTCCTGCCACTCCCACACTAACTCCCTCCTTCAACTGCAGGTTCGCGTTTAAAAAGTTACGATGAAGCCTCTCCGCGCTGGGCGGTCACAACCTGAATGTCCAGCAGTTGCAATACTTGAAGACTGTTTAGTGATTCACTGCAACTGGTGGAAGCTTCAGCATCTGGACTGATCCAAACTGGCGATCCTCTTCCATTTTCTCATTGGCATAAAGCTTTCTCACCCTGTGGCCTTCCAAACGTTGGGGACTTTTAAGGCAGGTATTCTGAGAATGCCTTTACAATTTTGACTGGAAACGTTTGTATGTCTGCGGCCAGCAGAATAAATTTATGCACTTTGGTTTCTAGAATCCTTGAAAAGATGTTTGCAAACACGGCTTCCCAATTTTTAGAAGGGTTGTGTCCAGGAGGAAGGGTTTTGTCCGAACAGTAGAACTGGCTACATTACGGAGTACAAACCCTAATTTAGAGTTTTCTCAATTAGCCTAATGTGGCTGGTTCAGCATTGCGAGTTTATTGACAGAATCACTTAAACATTCACACATAGCCAAATGAACAATAACGCACAGGAACAGTAAGGTGTACAAGAAGGCTGAGGTCACGTACTGTAGTAAGCCATGGTTTGCTTATCTATGGTTTGTCATGATCTAGTTATGGAAGTTGTTTTGCTTTTGTAGTTCAGAGACTTGGTAGATTCAAACCGGGCTCGTGCCTAAGCCACAATTGCCTGGATTCACACCACATATAAACTAGGATTTGAAAAAACAGAACAACTCACTAGTACAATGTGTGAAACTAGCCTCACACCCTGACTTGTATGCGTTTTCAAATTAACAATTAAGGGCTATCAAGACCTCCATCACTCCCAGATACAAAATAAAGTATTCGCTGTTAATAAATAGGTTGTTTTATTTGTATTCTTATACAGAGAAATAATTTTATTCAGATAGTCTTTTTTTTATTAATTTTAAAAAATACATTACCACCCCAGGTCCCCAATTTTTGTAGCTCCAGCATCAGGATATCATAGGCTTTTGAAACAGTGTCCGGGGTTGTGCGCTCTCGGCCTGCAAGAGTGTGATGCTCAGCTGGGACTACAGTTCCCAGGATTCCCAGCCAGGTGTGTCGTCCCCACACATCTAGTGGGCACAGGAAAACAGTGACATATGTGAATCTCAGGCAGAGAAGTAAACTAGGAAAACATGTTTCCCTGGATTCTGCCTCCTAATTCTGATGCATTCACGGCCTGGAATTCTCTCCCCGAAAGTGCTTTATTGCAGCCCTCCCCAACTAGCCCCCACCAGGGGTGGGAGCTAGGAACTCTGGGAGCTGTAGTCCCAACACAACTGACAGGAGGCAGGTTGGGAAAAGCTGCAAGAGCTTGGTGCCAGCGGGAGGAAAACACTCTAGCAAATCCACTTTTTCCAGGAGGGAATCGATTCCATCAGCTCTGACCCCCTTCGCCTGTTTCTACACACCCGAGTGGGGGAGAGAGTCCAACGTTGGGAACGCAGTTCCGTCGGCCAAGTTAAATAATGTTAAGGTTGCTCCAGAGCCAAACTGGGGAAGTCAACAGATGTGGGAAGTGATTTCATCCTAAAACACTTTGTGGCTAAAAGTCCCTGTTGAAGACAGAGCCCCAGATTCAATTAAAAGCAGTTTTTCCTCTTTCCTTTTCCAGAGGGGGGGGGGGAGAAACAGAGCACAGCTCAAATCCTCTACTGGTTTTCCAGTGCCACATTGCCATCAAGAGCCAAGCAACATTTGTTAAACAAATACCCAGCAACCTCCCCCCCAAAAAATGGGGGCGGGGAAGGTAAAACTGGGTGATCTTTGGTGCCAGAAAGCACCAACAGGGAAAACCACGGTCAACACGAAGCTTGCTTCTCCTCCCAATTCAGGAACTAGCAAAAGCAAACCGCAGGCCGTTTAGCTTCTGGGTTTGTCACTCCCCCCCCGTGCTCCATTCGCCTTCTTCCTCCCTCAACTCGCCGATGGCGATTTTTAACGGCTCACAACGGCAAAGGATGGAACGGCAGAATGCCTGGTCTGTAGGGAATCCTGCCCCACTCCCAACCCTGGCAGTTCCTCGCGGACGCTGAGCCCAGAACAGAACAAGCGATTCTTGGGTGGGCAGATGCGGAAGTCGGTTTCCAATTTTCTTCCCCTTGCCGGAAAGCTTGCAAACGATGGGTGGGTCGCTTCGAAAGTGTGGCGTTCCTTGCCCTTCCCACGGCTCTCCTGAACTAGTCCATCTCCTGACTTTCTAGCAGAAGTATGATCTTCTCATCCGGGATCTCAGGCCCTGATCACCGCACATCTCCAGCCCCCAAAGCAGACGTGATAATCCTGGATGAAGCTCCCAAACTCAAAGAAATCTAAGGAAAATTATACACTGTCCCTTAAATGTTCTTGCTGTCATCGCTGGTGCCTGGTCAAGAAAAGGGGGGTGGAAACCAGGTTCCCTTCACAAAATTCACGGGAGATTGTGATTGTTCACCCTCTCTTGAGTAAGCCCACCTTAGACCAGTTTCAAGGGATGCATTTCCTTTGTAAAAAACCCATGGAGTTCAGAAGTTCGAATCTTTCCACTATCCCCATGCAGACAGGAAGAATGAGTCATAGCAGAGACCCCAGTGAAGCTGATGCAGAAGAAGAAGGAATCAGGCATTTCATATATAAGTTCATTTGGGTGAAGACACTCCGTCGCCCCTGTTGGCTTTCCAGCTAGCCACGGAGGAGCATCTCTTGCTGGCTTTTCAGCTAGCCACGGAGGAGCATCTCTTGCAAGTAATCGCCCATAAGAGCCGCCAACGAGTCCTCTTCAAGGAAAACCAACGCTTGCTCTCGCGCATGAGATCCCTCAGTGTTTCAGCCAAGGATAGGCCTCCAGAGAAGCTTTGCTCCTATCCCCGTAATCGTACAGCAGTTCCTCGCCAGCTTTAATGTCACGGGAGGCCACCAGGATGAGGTGGGGAACGCCACCGATGTCGTGGAGTTTTGTCTGACAATTCCCACACTTGCTGTGATTGATCAGACGTCCCAGGCGGTTTGTCTCTTTGGTAGCATCGACGCTAAGGGGTGGGGTTTGTGTTGAGGAAAGGGAAAAAACAGGAAAGCGTTATTTCTCCGGCCCGAGAATGGGTAGCCGTTTACAAATTCCTTGGAGAGGCATTTCAGTAGAAAGGAGCCCAATTGGCCACGGAGCTGGCAAGCAGGTGGAATTTTAAAACAAGAGCCTCATTGCTGTAAACCGTGGTTTGTTGGATGAGTCATAAGGCTGTAAACTATGGTTTCAAATGTGCTGACTGGACTTGGTTGCTTCTATGACTATTGTTACTTCTGTTCCTATTGTTATTTCTGCCATTACTTCATCCCATTGTTTTATCTGTTCAGAAGTTTATTACATTATTTGACCCAGTGTTGTATTTTATTTTTAATTCCTTGTTTTCATGTTTCTTTAAATTGTGAATCATCCAGAGTCACTCTTGCGAACTGGGCAGCTGGTAAGCTTAATAAACATTTGTTCACAAACGTTGCCCCAAACCAACCAACCTCCACCCCCCCTTAATGCTACACACGAATCAAACTGAATCTGGCAACCTCAAGAGCAGCGTTCTTCCAGCTACCTTCTTCAATCCCCAATTTTAATTTCAGGGAGGAACAAACCCTCATGTAAAAAAAGAAAACACAACACAGCTTAAACCAGCATGATTATAAAAGAATATGCTGCACAGAAACCCTCAACTACTCTGACCATTGCTTTCTTGATTTTAATGAACAAGGGTATTTTCTTTTGTCTCTTAGCTATTCAATGTTTTTGAGGTCATTGTTTTGTAATTTTAATGGGGAAAATTGGTTTTCAGGGGCAGGGGAGGGAGGGAGGGAGGGAGGAAGGAGAT